CTTTCTTTTTCTGTCTCGTTATCTTCTTGTTTCTATCTCTTTTCTCTCATCATATGCCTATCCCCCCACCCTCTCTCTCCACTCACTCTCTTTTTATCTCTTTCTTTCTCTACCCTCTAATCGTTACCCTCTAATCTCTACCCTCTAGTCTCTACTCTCTCTCTCTCTCTGTCTCTGTCTCTCTCTCTGTGTGTCTCTGTGTCTCTCTCTCTGTCTCTCTCTGTCTCTCTGTCTCTCTGTCTCTCTGTCTCTCTCTGTCTCTCTCTCTCTCTCCCTCCCCCTCCCCACTTTCTCTATCCTATATTTCTTTTGTAAATGAATTTATGTTTGTTCTGTTCATGAAGATCTATGGCTCAAACATATATCCCTAAACTTTTTGAAAAGTTCGCAGAAGACGTGATTTACATTCCCGAAAAGTGAATTCTATTCTGTCTCGTATCTACGTCTTTTTGCTATGGTAATCTATTCCACTCAGCCCGAATTGACACTAACTGGCTATGTCTCTTAAGTAACAACTATGTTTAATAGGGATGTCAAATATTTACAACGTTATACAATCATAACTTCTTTGTTTCTGTCTTCGCAGCTCGACCAGAGCACCAGCTTCCCAGAGCGGCGGAGGATCAGAGCCGCCATCAGGAAGCTGACTCACTCGTCAGAGAATTCCAACAGCTCTGCAGACGACAAAGGAAGAGGCCTTGGGGGTCAAGTGAGGAGCATCGTCGCGCATCTCAGTAGCCCTGACAACGTCAAAACAGTGTCATTATCAGACCACGCTCCCAGTAACTTTGGCAACGTCAAAAGTGCGTCATCATCAGGTCGCACCCCCTTGAACAACAATGCTATTAATAGACTTAGGAATATCCGAGTAGTTGTCGGGAAAGGAAATCGAGAATACCACGATGTAGAGGTATCGTCTGACTCTCCAACGTCTGTTGTCTTTAGGCCAGTCATTTCTACTCCCACTACCCCTACGTCCCCAGCTAATGTTACGTCTGTGTACTGTGCCCCCGTTGTCCCAACACCTGTCGTATTTCGTGCGTCGGTCGTCCATACCTTCACACTAACAACGCCCAAACCGACGACATTGACCAGAGCTTCCCACGTGGCAACTCTCACTACAAACACCCCTGAGGAGTCCTCTACCATTACATCCGGGAGTTCTGCAACGTTCTCTCCTACCACCACTATGACGTCAGCCTTCACCAGAGTTGCGCCCCCTCTAACCGCGTCTAGCTCTTTCGACATGACGTCACGGAGGGGAAGCAACTCCGACATGACCTCACGAAGGGGAAGCAACTCCGATATGACACTTCGAAGGGGAAGCAACTCCTCCTCCTTGAACGGACCAGGCAACCTCAGATTGAGCCAACGATCTCCCAGGACGATGCTGTCGGAGGGAAGACCTGCGGCGAGAAGTCCCTCCCCTTTTTCTACGCCGTCCACTTCAACTTCTGCACTATCAAGTTCCCTTTCGCTACAAACCTCCCCCAGTCGCCCTTTTGAGACTCTGCCCAACAAGATAGGACCGTCAAAAGTCAACAGCATCAACAGAAACAACGCGACCTCTTCCTCTCCCTTACATTTTTCCCCCTCTCTCAATCACGGGGTTTCTTCTTCGCTTTCTAGAAACTCTGACGCGTCCTCCCCGACCAGGTCCAGCTACGTCCGTCCCTCGTCACCACTGACCACAGGACTCCGGCCACACCTCCAGGAGACGACTGGGCTCTTCAAAGCAGAACCAGTAAGCGTCTTCTCCGCCAGATCCACCGGTCAACCTACGTCCGTCCTGAATCCAGGTCGGGCTTCACCCTCGTCTTTTTCGTCAGCCTCCTCCTATATAAGACCCGAGACTTCTTCTCCTGTTCAAAGTGACTTTCACATTAAACGACCATCGATCAGTATTTCGACACCAGTCACACCATCTTCTTCTTTTTCGTTTAGTAAAGTCGAACGGGATTCAGCATCAGATGAACATCAAACTGAAGAGTTTTTGGACGGAATCAGAGCGAGGGTCGCGGAACGGAGGGGGAGTAACTCAGACTGGGCAACCGCGAGGAGGGGAAGCTACTCGGACTCATCCACCAGAACCCCCGATTTTTCTTCCGCCGGGGTCACCTCTCCGTTTTCAACAGCATCACCATCCGTAGAGACAACTGGTCAGTATCGGAATAACGATAAACCGAGAGAGCAACGAACTCCTATTGCGAGTCACTGGAGTTTGGACATGACCAGATCTCGGTCCCTGGACTCACCGGGAACTGACCGGACAGCGGTGACTTCCATCACTCCCGACACAAACAGTCGGTCCAGGTTCGAGTATACTTCACCTGTACGAGTTGGCGGTTTGATTACACACACCGGAGATGGTCAGGTTCCGACTTTGACCGCGTCACGCCTCGGTGGGTTTACGAATCAGCCGTCAGCGCCACACAGCGGCGGGGGACAGGACAAGACCACGAGTGGGATCTCATTACAAGAAGATCACAAAGCTACACACGACAGGAGCAGACAGGCAAGGGCTGAATCAACACTTGCTGCGTCCTCCCGAGTCTACAGCGCCGGCGGTGACAGAAGTGAGGCCCTGAATCTTAACCGCCGTGACCCAGTTTATCATTCGAAGTCTGCTTTTGCGTTTGGTAGTGATGATGATAATGATTCTTCGTCGCGTCATCGTTTATCCTCGTCAGCCGTCTCCACTTCTTCGCCGCTGACAGCGAGCGAGGATAAAAAGACACAAGCCAGCGGACGAGCAGGTTTGGACCCTCACATCAGGTACATCCAGCCCCTGGATGACTCAGCACGTCTCACTCGGTGGAGACAGAAGTCTGTTCCCGTGACACGCGACAGTGTGGACAAGTCCCCCTCGCGACACGTCACCTTCCAGGTAACAGATGAGTGTAAGACCACCCCAAACAACCACAAATACAAACGAGGAGAAACAACTAACAGCGCAACTTTAGAGAAAACCTCTGACCAACAGAGAAACAATTCGTACAGCAGCGATGAAGAAAATGACGTGTTTTCTCCACTGCTAACCGTTAAAAAATCGTTGGGAAATTCCCCTAAAGATCTGAGACGGCATTCGAGTTTCGACGTTTTTGATAAGGAAAAATGGATCAAACCTCCTTCATCGTCGCCTCAGTCGAAATTGGATTGTCCCGCCGGTACCAGTAACAGCAGCAGCATCAGCAGCAGCAGTAGCACTACACAGAGGCGTTCCTCCATGCCAGATCCTTCCTCTGTGTCTGACTTCCACGCCAACCATCAGCTCAAGCAGGCGCTCCAGAGCGCTTCAGACATCCACGAGAAGTACACCACCGGCCTCTTCAGTCCCATCGAAAGACACCCGAAGATGTTACGTCACTCACACTATCACCGGTTCCTGAGCGATAACGTCACAAAGAGTCCAGGGTCCCCGAAAGAGGAGCCTCGCTCTCTCCATGTTTTAACGTCGTCTGATCATGAGAAATATGGACCAAGAGAAGGTGGAGGAGGAGGAGGAGAAGGAGGAGGTCTCTCACTGTCCCGACGTGCGTCTTCTCCTTTCTCCTCTACGACCACATCAGCAGCAACTCTCGCTGTACAGTCATCACCAAAACACCAGAGTTCGTCTTTCCGTGAAGCAGATCCCCCTAGAAACAACGGTATGGCCCCAACAAGCGTCAGCTTCAGTACTCCCACTCACAGAAGAGGCTCGGAATTATTCCCGCAGCGGTCTATAGGATATCGTCACTCTTTGGTGCCTTCTTCCTCCATCGACAGGAGAGCATCGTCTCCATTGGTGACGGACCACAGAGGAGCTGATGACGTCAGAACTATGGCTGCCTCCACTTCCATCGCTGTCGCAAGGGCGGGCTCTCCGGTGCTGTCGTCTGCTCAGAAAGGGGTGCATACTCACGAGGGAAAGTCTTACAACTATGTAGACTCGTGTGAGTCACAGGCGGAGCTCTCGCGCATGGTGAGTAAAGCCAGCAAACAATGACAGATATATTAGGTAAAATAGCAGCAACAGCAGCAGAAACATTCTTGACATCATCACCACCTCCATCGACGAAATAACATCAACAATAAAGCAAAACAAACATCAACTACACAAGTCAAAGTAAAAAAAAAAGAAAAATACCAAACAATCTTCTCTCGAAAATCGCAGACTAAGACATGAAAAGTTTACTTATTATTAAAACAGATATTATTGATAGCGCCTCCGGACAACAATGTTGGCAACTTATATTATTGACGTTCTAATGTACCAACTTTTTAATCCTTTTGTAGACAGAACGTTTCAAAACTGAACTTTAGACTGAAGTTATTATAATCATTTTTTGGTAGCTATTATTCTTTTCACAAACTCTTCAGTAGTTATTTCTTCTTTAAACTTAGTTTTATGGTCCTGTATATAATTATGTGAACGTATCTTTTGGTTATGATACAATATTCTATTTCAGCCTAACTGTTTATCAGTCCCGGCGGCGCGTTTTAGCTGTATCAAGAATATTATGCATATAATATCTCGGCGAACGAACGCATAGAAAATGATTTATTGCTTGCAGGATTTATTATTTTTTGCGTTGCGAAAGTGTGACTGAAAGTGACGTTGGGTTGGATGAGACAATGCAGCATCTTTGAAGATGATCGGAAAACTGGCAGACCCAATTACAAAATTTTAGCATATTATTATACAACATCGTAGAGCATTTTATTTGTTCAACGCCCTTTTCGAAAGAAGCGTATCAACTTCTTTCAAACGCCCAAGGGAATCCCACAAATGTGTAAATTACGAGTATTTTTCTAGAACAATGATTAACCATTTTTTTAAAGAAAGAAGCTAAAGAAGTGAAGACTCAATTTTAATATAGACCAGGCCAGGCGCCATTTTGAAGCGATGACGTGAGAATGCGCCTTCTGCATGAAAAAAACACAATTCTTAAGATCTGAATTCTAGTTCGTGCTAGATCTATTTTCCATCTCTCCCAACCGTGCTTGGAGAAAATCACTGGTCCAATGACTTATCGAAAATGTTAAGCTTCATTCTAAAATAATTTTCAAATTTGTCATTGTTCTCTCGCAGCTGGACCACTAATAAAAGTAACGATATTCATCCGGAATGGTTGCTTATCAAATTAAATGGATGCACGCTGCACAAAAATACTTTTAAATCTCTTTCTATTCCATTCCTACCCCCAAAACAGCGAAGCAATCTTATGTCTTTTTGAAAAAGCCATTTTGTTCACACACAAAAAAATCCCCCTGAAAACAAAACAAAAACAAAACACCCCAAAAAGAAGAAAAATGGAATAAATAACATGCCGCTTACGAAACACCGTCGCACCTTGATCACTTTTTGCAGCTCGGCGTACGATGAAATGTGAGCCGCGAAGCTCCTCGTTCCATTGTAACTCGAGCACTCGAGCCTTTCACTCTGCTTATCTGTCCTTTTCTATTCTTTTCAGTCATCAACGGTTAACTGCTATTTAAACTCAGTACCCGCCTCTTCTCTCCATTGACATCCCCAC